CTGTCCATGCAACAAATGAGGCACTGATAAATATTATTAGCGGTTCACTGGCTTTGCCTAGCTAGCTGCATGCCACATTTGCAGCCATAATCGCAATTTATTTAAATGCGAGCTGCGGCAGGGGCAAGTTGCCAGTTGCCACTTGCCAGTTACCAGTTGCAACCGTTGGCAGCCAGTCCACAATTAATATCGACATTTTAACACTTAGCGCTGACTTATTGCAGCTCTCGTTTCTCTCTGTCTCCCTCTTAGTCTCCCTCTCTCTCTCCGTCTCTCTCGCGCTTAGATTGTTTTTATCAATGGAACGTTTAAGCCGACTAGCGATTTGGCCAAATGGCTTTTGGCCAACAGCTTTGGCCATTGGCAATGCCTGGGACTACTGCTGCTGTTGCTGCTGGTGGTCCACCATCTCCTGCTCTTCATATCATATCAATAAAAAAATTACGACCACGTCAATGGCGGCAACTTTTTACTTTGTTTTTCTTTCGTTTTTTCTTTTATATATTTTTCTCCCAAATCTTTGGCCATTTCCTTTGCTTTTCCTAGCTAGTCTAACGGAACATGTGCTGTCAGCATTTATTATGCTGCATCTACTATTAAAAAAATGTCTTCAAATGGTATTTCTCAAAATATAAAAATTAAATTAAATATAGAAATATAGAGAAAATTATACCTATATAATTTGAATTTCAGTGAAGAAATTCAAAAATCTTTGCTGCATCTATTTTAAAAGTATATATATTCAATATATTCTATGTATTCTATATATTCTTTGTACTCTATTTCATATATTCTATGTCTTCTATTTATTTTCTCCACTCTAAATATTCTATATATTAAATATTCTATATTTTTTATATTCTTCTAAAAAAAATTTCAAATAGAATATTACGAAAAAATTAAAAAAAATCTTTTTTAAAAAATACAAAATTGAACTAAGCTGAAAAGTTACACAAAATCTCAGCTGTCATAAGCATCCTCTCTAGCGTAACCAATTTATTGAGGCTCTGCCTCAAGTCGTCTTAAATAGAATATCAATTTCTGTGATCTCTCAATTGTGAGCGCTTAGTTATGAATAATTTGGTGGCATTAAGTTGCAATTGCACGTGAGCGAAACTCTCGCATTACAAATTGCTCAATTTAAATCAATAAAGCAACGATCTGCAAGAGTTTCCAGGTGACCCGCATTCGGCTGAGATATCTATATATGTGTGCAAGCTGATTCCCATTTCCAATTTCCATTTCCATTTGGAGTGGTTTGTGCAGCGAATGCCCTAAAGGCAGAGCCGTAGCCACCTACCGTTGTAATGGCCGCATGCGAATGCCAGATCAATGTCGGCCGCAGCGACGGCTGCGTACTGCGGCCGTCGAGGCGCAGGCGCGCATATTGCTGCATGAATAGTTTCCAGATTACATAAGACATCATAAAGATCGATGCCAGGCCAGGCTTGCGATATCCACATGCAAATTGTATGCGTGCCAGGAAATCGTCTGACTGCGACCATCCAACAGACAGGGACAGACAGGGACTCCCAGACTACAGACTTCAGACTCCAGTCGAGGCTATCGCGGGGGTCGAGGGCTTTGCGCCTTAATGCGTAGTTTGTGTTGCGTTTATTGTTTTCATAAATTCAAAAAAAAAAAAAAAAGAAAGAAAAGACTCGAGTCCGAAATTTGTCGGCTTACATTATTATTATTATTGCTTATTATTGTGGCAGCAGGCGATTCACTTTACAAAAGACAGATTCACTTCATTTTTCACTGAGGCCAGCCAAAAACCAACAAAAGCAGGTAGGCGGCAGGGCAGCGGGGAGGCGTGGCAGGCGGCTTAGTGCCTTTTTTACTACTTCTTCTTGTATTATTTTAATATTTATTTACATTTGAGCATTTTGCATAACGCGCGGGTCACGACGGAAATCGTCGGCTGGCAATTTATCAATACATAGTTGTTGTTGTTGTTTCTTTATTTTCAGTTGTTTTTTTTTTCGGCTCGTAGCCTAAGGTAAGCCACAGAAAGGTTCAGGTCCAGCTACGTGCAACGAAAATCAGCAGTAAAAAAATAAATAATGAAAAACGCGCCAAAAAATCAAAACGCGCACAAATTTTTGTTGTTTTTCGCTTGCGATGCGAGATCAATGGGAAAAAACGCGACGCAGCCACAGCGCACAGAGCTCGCTGGGCAGGGCTCCAATTGGCAAACGGCTGCTCCAACTGGAATAGGAAAATGTTCGCGTCGCCTCGCGTCCGTTTGGCAAAACAAGTTCAAAGCGTTTGCGGCGCGCAACTAAATTGAAATGAGTCGAGCGCCAAATGGAAAAGCCGCACACACGCCCCACACACACACACACTCATACACACCCACAGCTATACAGTTACACACATACACACTGCAAGCTTGAATGATTTTCCATGCGTGCGAATGATTTTCAATGTGAATCCGCCGTACGAATGAATCGGCGAAGCTCTTGAATTGATTGAATGTGAGTCAATCAAATTCTATATAAATACACTGTACTACAAGTTAAGTGAGAAACTATCTTAATTACTATAATATTCTGAGTCAGAGTTTGATATATGCTAAGACTCTAAAAGTGCCTAAAGATACTTAAGCCTTGAGTTCAGATATTTGACTTGAGAGTTTTTTAAACACACTGCGAGAAAAGTGATATGAAATATAAATCAAATTAAGTACAAAAGACACTAAAATACTTTTTAAATGATTATAAGTGAAGTTTTATCTAAAAATATCTAAAGATATCTCAAGATTTATTAAATGCTATTTTGAAGTCTTTAAGCTTAACACTTTTTTGACATTACCAACCAGTATAGATTCTTAAGTTTAAATATACATTATAATAACATTAAAATAACCTTTCTTATTATAATTGAATTCCACCAAATTATTTTCCTACCCCATTCTCATAGACTACTCCATTGATTTTGTAGCACAGTGTTGCCCGATGCATAGCTTACAAAGCAGCACACCCACATTTGCTGTGCACAAGGGATAGGGTATTCTTTTATTGTTCGACTGTTTTGTGTGTGCTACGTTCAAACAGGGGGGGGGGGGACAGAAATTCTCTGTGCTTAATGCTCCCCATCGCATTGTTTGCTTTATTTGCCCATCCCTTGCCGATACACATTGTTAGCCATAATTGCGAAGTGGCAAGCGCGAATGGAGCGACCACAGCCGCCAGCGCCTTGAACTTGGCTAAAAACTCAGATACTTTCCGCACTTTCCACACTATGCTTGTCTAGCTAGCTGACAGGCCCTTTGTTTGCGGCTATACGGAATGGTTCCATCGTTCCATGGCTCCGTGGGTCCGTTGCTTCACGGCTCCGTGGCTCAATGGCTCCATGGTTTCTGATGCGATTTCGATTATCGGAACATGCGATTTTTGTTTACTGCAAGCAGAGCTTAAGTGCTGAGAAATAAACATTTGCTCGAAGCGAATAAATATTTTGTTTTGATTTTGATCTATGAGAAATGATTTAAAACGTGTCTTCGAAATATGCTATAAATAAAACAATTGGTAGAAACGCTCTTTGGGAAATGAATGCCCTCTTTAAGTATGAACTACAGATTAACTTTCCATTTATAGAGAATCACATTGAATCCTCACTTTAAGAGCGAACTCCATTGTCTAATGAATTCTTTTTAAGAAATGTTTCTATATAAAATATCTTTGAAGTACTTTGCTCAAAAACTCTGTTATGTTAAGAAATACCATTTATAAGAGTATTATAATAACCAAATCTATTTCTATATCGCTTAGCCGGCTCATAATTATCCAGCTCATAACTATCTCTTAAATATATGATTCTATCTTTAAACTATTCGCGTTCCATTGTGATCTTAACTCATTAAAAGTGCATTTCCGTCAGTTGTTAGTTAATAAAAATGTGAGTCAATTTCTGATGTCAGCAGTTAACTATGTCTATAAATTTCTAATTACAAAAACTCTAACAATTTGCTTGATATATTTTCCCCCTAGCAATGATGTCATATGAAACTCAAAGTAGTTTCAAAACCTGATTGAAAAGTCAAAGTATCTAAATTAATGACCTTTAATTATAGTTAATAAACTTGCATTGGGGTATTTAAGGCAGCGAAATTCTCTGTTTAGATGAGAAAGTTGGGGCTTGTGAAGTTTACTTATTTTACTCATAATGTTATATATAAATATGTTTACTGTAAATAGATAATAGTTATTTCAAATTTTAAACCCAATATGCCGTGTTTACTTCCCAAAGAGTGTATATCCAACTTTGACAAATGCCATGCAATAGAAAACTTTTTGCTATGCTCGTAGCGTTTGCCATACTCTCGCCTCTACGTGTTGTGCCTGCAATGTACCTAGTTATAAAGTGGTTACAGCAATACGCCCTGAAACTATTTCGAAATTGCCAAAAAAATCATCGCAAATACCAAAAAACTCATCAAAAACTTTCATAAAATTTCGCATAAATTTTGATTTCTAACAAGCAGCGAAAAGTGTTCGAAAATGATAACGACTCAAATGGCGCGCAGAACTGTTATACAAGCTGACAGCGATAATCGCTCAGCTTGAAGACAGGCCAAACATGCAAAATAACAACAACAACGACAACGACAGCGTCGGTAACGGCAATGCGGCTCAGGGCTAGGCTGGTGGACACACCTACCGTTAGGTTAGAGTGTTTAGCAAATGGCAACGGAAACGGAACAAAGCGGCAGACAGTTGGCAAGTACGTCACGGCAATGGTAAAACGGGGGTTGAGCTTTTGGGGCAAACTTTGTGGAGAAATTGTTGCAAGTCACGCCAATGCAAAAGTTCGAACCCTGCCTTCAAATACGCAGGAAAAACAAAATTTGCCGCAAATTAAACCACAAATTATTAACTTTAATTGAATTCCAGAGAAATTAAACGTTAGACGAAAATCAATTAGTAAAGTAAAGTTAAGTAAAAGGGGTTGAGTAAACAGTTGACCCGCTTTTGAAAGGCTCTCAGAACGCTTACCCGCTGCCTATGCTGTTGCTGTGGCTGTTGCTGACGTCGACGCGGCAGCCCCAAACGCTTCTTAATCCACTTGAGCGTCGTTTGACGACTGCGCGTTAGCGACATGCTGCAAATGCTCCAGATGTGCAGGATCAACAGAAAGATAAACTGCAGCCACTCGACGCACTGCTCACGCGTTGGCAGACCCAACATTAAGCACAACACTTGCTGCCTATATGCAGCAACAACAATTTCATCACTTTCTAGTCGAGCGACAGAGATAGAAACACTTCCTGTTACTTGCACTTGGCGCTTTTTCAGCAAAGCTTCGACTTCTTTTTGCACACAATATTTTTGTTTCGTGTGTGTTTTAATCACTTTTCGTTGTTTCCTTTTAGCACTAGTATTTAACAGAGCGAGGGGAGGGGGGTGTTTCGTATTTGGCCTCTCTGTGTTTAATATTATTGGACGCGGACACCGTTGTTACTTCAGTTACGTTTGTTGTTTGACTGAGAATGCGGTCGGATTTGCCGCTGCGACGACGGCGTCGGCCGCGACGTCGCTAACTGCGAGAGCGGCTTAGACTGAGACCGAGAGTGTTGTTGCAGTAGGCGCAAATTGTCACCAATGCGACACCCCGTTGTTGTTGCAGCTGCTGTCTGTGTCTGTGGGCGCGCTTTGTTTATAAGTTGCGTGTGTGCGTGTGTGTAGCGCGCAAGAAAGTAAATGCGAGCGCGTATAAATAATGCAATAAGCAACAGCGACAAAAAACCCCGAAACCTTAAACGGCACTTTTTTGCAGTCAGAGCACATCGCACTTCAAAGCCGGCTTCGCTGCCGGCGTCGCTGCTGCTCAGCTAAGCCCTGCCCTTCTCTAGGCCGCGACCGCTGCCGAAACTGAAATTGAGCTTTGCACTCAATTTGATTGTAGGTAACGGCAATAAAAGCCATATTTAAATGCATGCAAGCTGGGCGAGCTTTTTGTCGTTGCTAAGAAGTTGTTATTGTAACCGTTGTTGATAGTGAGCATGTGTGAAGTGGAATTAAAGAACGGCAAAATATGAAGTAAGCTTTGATAAAGAATTGTTTACGTATGTTTTTTATGTTATTAATTATTTTACACTTAACATATATTGCATATGGTTCCACAGTGCGTTAATCACGTGTGGGTACTTTGTAGCTACTGTCGCCTGTCAAAACGTATTTAGAGAGAGAGAGAGAGAATGTGTGCTACTAGAAGAGAATGAACACAAAAGCTTGTCGTGCATTTCCGATGGACTATGTGAAAAAGAAGAAGCAGTGAAACGCAACAGAAGCCGAAAAAGCTTTATCGCTATTTCTTCTGCATCTCGCTGTTGTTATTTACTTGCTCGCGTTGCCTATGCACTTTATCGCTGCTATTGTTAGTGTCGCTGTTATTACGGTTATTTATTTATTTATGCTAATGTTGCTGTCGACGACGACGTCGACGCTGACGTTGCATTGTTTAGAATGAGAACAGCTAGACAACGACAACAACGGCAACAACGACAGTAGCACTCACGCGACGAAGCCCATAAATATAAAAATTCTCTCATAGTTAGGCCACGTATCGTGTACTACAACCATATTTATTTATTTATGAAGAAAGTGCATCTTTCCCAGCGTTGTGATTTTCTCGTATTGTGGAAAATTCTCAACACGAAGTTGCCCCTCGCTCACGTACATACATAGGAGACTCGCATTCGGTATCCAAATGCATAAGCCACCTGTGCGGATGCAACGGCGTCTGCATCGAAGACGTCGCCGCTGGGTACGGCGGAACCTGCAACAGGTACGTGCCACTTGCAAAATGAACACAATTGATGTTGGTGTTTTCGCGAATTTAGCTGAATGAATTGCGATGCCGGTTTCATTCATAAGTTTGGCCAAAGGCTGGCACGGCCCGAAGCTGTTGCATAGATCGCATGGCATTTGGACATTAGCCTATGCATAGAGTATAATATATTTATAATCAATTTATGTTATATTTTTGATTGGCTTTATATATCCGAATAGTAGAGTAGTACTTGTCTTACGTAATATCAATCTACTAGAAAATATTCTATTCAAAATACATTTTCAAGATCAACATATCATAGAAATTTCGATTTTCGGTATCCAAATTGATTTAAAGCCTATAATTTTAAACTTCTAAACAAAGGAATTGAAGCCTTCCTTCACATTTGCTGAACGTTCAACTAGTCTCTTGCAACTAGTTCAACTAGTCTCAAACACTGCCCAACTATACATATATATATATATATATATATATATATATATATATATAAATATATATATACTATATACTATATATTTTTTATTAATAATGGATTCGAAGTTGCCAGACGCTAATACTGCGTCAAGCAGTCGCCGTTCTAGCAGAACAGGGGACGAGCATTCGCTGGGCGATTCGGAGCTGCGGGATTCGGTGGGCAGTGAAAGTGTAGGTGAGCCGGAGAGACTTAAGCGTAAGATGGGCAACTGGGTATTTGAGAGTGTGGGTGGCTTCTATATGCCCATGGAGGATGTTACGAAGTTAACGGTGCAACGGCAAGAGGAGCTGCTCATACGCAATCTCATTTATGCGTTTTCGGGCGTGCCCGCCTCCCACATACGCCCCGATATACCCATCGAAGAAGTCTCGCAGCTGCGCGCCAATCAGATCGAAAAGGTGCGCTTCAAGATCAATGAGAACTTCAGTGGAGCCTTTCGCGCCTTGGCCAACGAGCTGCTCCCATTGATCGGCTACTACATCACTGTGCAGAGCTTCATTGAGGATATGAACATGACAACGGGATGTGGTCGCTCCTTGGGCTTGGCTCTGCACAACAGCATGCAGCAGTATTTCGAGATGCAGGCGGGGCTCGAGACGCAGCTGCAGGAGAAGAAGCTGAATCTGCATCAGCTGGTGCAGCTTCTGCGTCCCTGGCTGGTCACAATGCAATCCCTGGCCAACTTAACCAGTCGGGTGCGCTCCTTGAAGCTGAATAGCGCTCAGATGCTCTCGCTGATTTATGATCATCACGCGCACTTCAAGTGCGACCGGTTGAAGGTGCTGCTCACAGACGTCTCCCACTACTACATGAAGATGGTGCAGCTGTGGACGCAGAAGGGCGTTCTCTACGACATGCGCAAAGAGTTCTTCATCGAGGACACCAACGCGAGCGACATGAGCAGCACCTTGCTATCGCCGAAGCAGTGCTGCCACGCCTATTGGGCGAAACGCTATCGCCTGCACTTGAATCGCCTGCCGAGCTTCCTGGAACCGGAAGCCGAGTCCATTCTGCTGGCTGGAAAGTACCTCAATGTTCTGCGTCAGTGCAACGTGCAGATGAAGCTGATGCAGGCCTCACTCAGCTATGTGCCAGATGAGCAGACACACGTGCAGCTGATCCAGAGCAGCTATGAGCTGCCCGCGCAGAAGCTGTACGAGGTCCTGGTGCAGGACCAGGATCTGCTGCAGCATCTGGATAATCTGCAGGCATATTTTCTGCTGCAGCAGCTGGACTTCAATGAGGCGTTGATTGAATACTACTCGGATCAGCTACAGTGCAATGTGGACGATCTAAGGCCAGAGAAGCTGCACAAGATCACGCTGAAGTTACTGCAGTACAGCTCAGATCCATTCAAGCATCTGCTGCGCAGTCAGCTGATGGACTGTGATGTGGCTACGCAATTAACCAGGCGGATGAAACGTCTAAAAGCTGGCACGGAGCAGCAGATGCAGGAGACTGAACCAGAGACCAAAGAGGAGCAGTCAGAGCAAACAGTGCGAACGAAGCAGGAGGAGCAGACGGAGCCAGTGAAGCAACTGGAAAAAGTGGAACAGGGGCCGCCAGTGAAGCAACTAGAGCAAGTGCAGCAGCCGCCAGCTGAATTGGAGTTGTCCAGTGAGGCGGAAGATAGCATTGATTTGCCAGAGCAGCTTGCACTCTACGGTTATGAGGCTCTGACGCTGCGCTATGAGCCCAAGTGGCCGATCAGCCTAATCCTTCATGAAGAGGCACTGGAGCAGCTGCAGCTGCTGCATCGCGTGCTCTTCTATCTGCACTACGTGCAACGAAAGTTGAGCTCAACCAGCAGCAACAACGCACGTGCTGTGGCGCTGCACGCACGCATGCTGCAGTGCATCCAACAGCTGGAGCAGCACATGACCCAGGACGTTGTAAAGCCTCGTTGGCAATCGCTGTTGGACAATGTGCAGAAGGCAGAGTTTGTGGATGAGCTGATGAAACTGTTTCAGGGCACCCTGGACAGCTGCCAGGTGATGTGCCTGCTCTCCGAGCCGGTGACCTTCGTGCGCTCCCTCTACACGCTGGGTCAACTCTGTCTCAACTACAATCTCTTCCTGGAGCGCCAGGACAGCGAGCAGAGCTTCGACTCCAGCCTGGCCGAGTATGAGCAGGAGTTCAATGGGCTGCTCATTGGCATATTGGACCTGCTCATCGAGCTGGCCAGGTCAAACAGTTCGTGCGGCAATGAGGAGCGCCAATCCTGCCAGCAGCTGCTGCGGCGCCTCGAAGAAATTAGCCAGGAGTTGGCTTAGTTTACGTTCGATTTTATTTATTTTTTCCTGTTTTTAACCATTCCAAATTTAAAGTAGCTAAAAAATTGATAAATCTTCAGGTGTTTGCAGCAAGACGCAGCAGGTTGCAGCAACCTGCCTCAAGAGCTTTGGCTCTAACTTTGGGTTATTCTTAAGTCGTAAACTTTTTAGTTGAGCTGTGCAAAGTAAAAGTAAAAAAAAATTATTTTAGTTTAAATAATACAAAATAAATCAATAAAAAAAAATTGTGATAAATTTATAAAAAATTAAATAAATATATTTAAATATATAAAAAAATTTTGCTTGAAAGTAAAAGCAAGTCTTGGTTAATTAAATAAAATGTAAAAAAATTAAATAGATATTACAATAAACAATTAAAACCTATTACACAAAAAAATTGGTAAAAAATTAAATTAAAATTTGTATAAACAAAAAATGGTCTAAATTAATTAATTAAAAATAGAAAATAATATTAATTTATTATTAAATTATAGACAATTTGTCTATATTTTAAAAATTAAATTAAATCTGTACTAAATTTGGAATTCCTAAATTTTGCTGGTTCTTGGCTCGAGTTCGAGCTCGAGTTCGAATTTTTTGTTATGGATTTATTTATTTATTATATTTTATTGATAAGGCTCATAGTTCCTTTCTTAACCCTTAAACTACGTCCAACTTCGATTGAGACTATATTTTACAATCCTATTCTCCGTCGGATAAGTTTTTAATCACAGTTTGAGTTAAATGGAAAAGCGGGATTCGAGCCTACTTAGCAGCCCCATCAGTGCTGAGCACAGCGTTGCATTGCGTACAATGGGCGTGAATAATCGATTTGTATGCTTAATTTCGGAACACTGCCAAATTTATGCCGAGTCACGGCAAAAAATGCATCAAGCAACGCTTTCTGCATAGGATCGTAAATTATTTTAAATGGCCGCAAAAACGTTTTTAATGCGCCCAGCCACACTGTGGCACTTGCCCCAGACGCGGCCCCAGCCACGTACCACAATTGCGAAATCCAAAGGCCAATTGTTATGTAAATCGGGAAAATTCACTCAGAGCCAGTCGAATATAGCGAGCAGAGCTTCACGCAATGCTGTCCAAAATCTTTTTATAAAAAAATATTAAAAGAAAAAAGTTGGCAGGAGTGTGCTGGATGAGAGGGATTAAGCTGGAAATGCCCTGTAAAAATATAAAGATTTAACTAAAGTTGAAGAATATATATATAATCAATTAGGGTATATGAGACGTATTCCATAAAAGCAAATTATATATCAAATATTCGGGCTTTCACATACACGATAGTCACTCATATGCATATTCACTCACACTTCGACAAACTAATATACCCTTGCACATGCCTCACAGGGTATTCAAAAAGCAACTGTAAAATAAAAAAGTGCATCAAAAAAGCCAAGTTGAATTCACTTTATATTTATCGCTTTGCGCTTTAAGGACAACAGGTGGTCGCTGAATGACGATGATGACGTTGATGCTGATGACGATGTTGATGCTGATGCTGATGCTGATGATGATGATGATGATGCAACAATAAAGTGCGGCCGGCGGCATAGCAGCCAACGACGACCACGAGTCGCAGCCAATAATAATGGTCGCAAAATTATGGTAAAGTTCAGATGCATTGCTTCCGAAATGTATATCATTATGTGCTTGCGAAAATGATGGACTGTCGACTGTCCAATCCCATTTACCTGATCAATGGGCTGCACTCACCTGAGTGAGCTGTGTCCAGTGATATGTGCATTATGGCCCAACCAGCCGGCCGGACAGTCGTGGGAAAGCGACTGCGGTTGCGGTGGCTATCGCTCGTAGCGCAGCTGTGGTTGGCTCTGTCTGCTGTGGTTGGTGGCTCAGTTCATTAAACCTATGACACGCCTTGGTCACGAGATGACTTCATTTGTGCGTCGCTTAGAAATGTCATATACTTGAACTCGCGCGGCACTGGAGCGGAAGTGCGACGTCAAGGTTCAGTGCCCGTTTAATTAACGCATTTTTCATTATCTATTTTGGCAATGGCATTGGCAATGGCAATTGGTAAATAAAGCTAAGCCATTGAATTGATTTTAATGAGCAGTTGGCAGGTAATTCATAATATTCAAATAATCATTCAAAAGCCATACACAAACATTTAGTTAAGGTTCCATTTACCAACGACTTGTCAGTGAATGGATTAAACCATAAGACGTTAATTGTATCCACACGAATCAAACTCATTAGTCAGGCATTTATAATTGAGTATAGCTTTTGAGATTAGGGCATGATTGAATAAGCCTATAATCTATATTAATCACAGATCAGTCTAAAGGTTCTAATTTGCTCCAAAAACAATTTGAAATATGTATCATTGCGTTTATCATTATCATTGTCATTGTCATTGTCATTGTCATTGTCATTGTCATTGTCATTGTCATTGTCATTGTCATTGTCATTGTCATTGTCATTGTCATTGTCATTGTCATTGTCATTGTCATTGTCATTGTCATTGTCATTGTCATTGTCATTGTCATTGTCATTGTCATTGTCATTGTCATTGTCATTGTCATTGTCATTGTCATTGTCATTGTCATTGTCATTGTCATTGTCATTGTCATTGTCATTGTCATTGTCATTGTCATTGTCATTGTCATTGTCATTGTCATTGTCATTGTCATTGTCATTGTCATCATTATCATTATCATCATTATCATCATTATCATCATTATCATCATTATCATCATTATCATCATTATCATCATTATCATCATTATCATCATTATCATCATTATCATCATTATCATCATTATCATCATTATCATCATTATCATCATTATCATCATTATCATCATTATCATCATTATCATCATTATCATCATTATCATCATTATCATTATCATCATTATCATCATTATCATTATCATTATGCGATTGATCATTATATAAATAAGAATTTTTTTATAGCCTTTTATTGAAACAAAATACACTTAATCTTATTCTTCTGGTTGTGCCTCTGTTACATTGGTAACCTCAGGTGGTGGTGGTGCGTCGACTTCTATCACAGGTTGCACTTTGGGTTTCGGAGTCAGTTTACGGTTGTTGTAGAGCAGATCCACTCCAAAATCGCATTGGGAAATCTCTCCATTCTGCAACTTCTCTTTGTACCAGAGCAGACGTTCGGTATTTCCTCCGAGTGATTGATCCAACAGCTGGCGCCGATGCAGCCCACGCTCGAGCAGCTCAATGTAGTCAATGGACTTCAGCTCTGGGAACTTTTTGAGCTTCTTGAATGCGTGCGCGCTGACGGTCTCGTAGGACGCGGCAAGGCCCATCTCGTTTTTAACACGCTCCGCTATCATCTCGCTGCGCTGCATATCCTGCACCTCGGCAGGCAGGATGCGAGAGCGAATGGTGGCCACATCGTCCTCGACGGTCTGCAACAGCTTGGCATGGGACTCCTTTTTGGCCGTCTCGTAGCTGAGACGCTCCTTCTCCAAGGCCGTCTCACGTGCCAGCTTCTCGGGATCCATTTGCTTGCGAGACATTAGAATGGTCATCATACGATTCAAATTCAGTTCATCAAACTTTTTAGCCATGCGCTCGCTATAGGTAGCCCCACTCTTGACCTTGCTACAGGGGTAGGCTTTAGCATTCTTATTAGCCAATTTGAAATACTCTCACTTACACTTGTTCCTCATCCCCTTCGGAATTGCGTTTACGTGGATTCAACATTTCGCGCTCCTGTTTTTCCATTTCCTTGCGCGCCTCCTCCTCGGCCTCGCGCTTTGCCTCGATGATGTCCTTGTTCAATTCGTAATACTTCTGCTCCCAGGCTCGAATGTTCATTTTGCGCGTGATTTGCCTTAGCACATATTTCATCAGTTTCTGGAAAGTATAAGGAAGGCTTACATGATGTCTGGGTTAGGTAAGTGAGTCTGATCTACTTCTAATTCATTGTCCAGCGGCGTATCGAAGCTGTGAGGCAGCTTGACCATGCGTATGCTGCTATTGTAGTCGCCTATGCCTAGAATCTTGTTGGGTAGCAAAGGCCGATGCTCCGTGACGGCTGTGATGATGCCACCACCTAGGACCTCACTGAGAACGGCGTCATCATCCCGAGCTGTTGTCAAGGAAGGGGAAGGGAAGGGGTATAGCCTATGCTTTCCGAATAGCGTCTATTTGTACTAACCCAATATATCCCAAGCTTCTAAAATACCATCAATTCGTGTAATGTACAGAACAGCTGGACGCGTCTCACTCCATGCTACAGAGGTCAGATCACAAGGACGCTTACGCCATATAATGGGCGAATCATGATAGTCCTCCTTCCACAAGGCAAACACCGTGCGTCCTATCGAAGCAAATAGCTCCGGATAGAAGGGATTCTTGCTCATGGCCACGACGGGTCCATCGTGCACCATTGCAAAATTAATGGAGGCATTCACCTGCTCCTTGGAACCAGCCTCGCTGTACATGCCCTGCCACTCCACGCGTATTATATGACCATAGTAGGTGGACAGGATGAGGGATTGGCGCAGCTCGGGGGGATTCTTGGCCACCATCGAAATGGGATAGTTGTTTGGAGAGCTGTAGATGAACTTCGGTGACGGCGTATTAATGGAGAAGACCGAAGTGTCTGCTATAATACCAGTAAGTGGCTCGTTGTAGCTGATGCTATAGGTGGGCTTGATTGTCTTGGACCTGAGGGGCGATTCATTCTGTGTCAGCTCCTTGGGCAGATTCTTATTACGTTGTTGGGCCTCCTTCTCCTTCTTGGAGCTCTCGCCGTCCAGATTCCAAAAGCTAACCGTTCCATCGAAGGAGCAAGTGATAAAGAAGTTGTGATTACTGCGCTTATCCATATCGTTGAACACCTTGCCAAAGTTGTTCAAATAGAAATGCCTGCTCAGCCAGTAGATGCCAGTGATGGCGCCTGTGGGTGAGTGCTCCAGTGGCGAAATTGTGGCCGGTGCCACCACCACATCCTCGTGTATGTCCAGCGTCCAGTTGAGATATTCACCAATCATCGTGCGATACTTGGCCTGGGCGGGCGTTAGATACTCCTCCTCCTCCAGGTGGTCGCAGCGCCCTTGCAGATCCCAGAGCACGACCTGTCCATTCTGACAGCCGCCCAACAAGATGTCGCCATTAAAGGGACAGAACGAGAGCTTGGTGATTTCGAACGGTGCCTCAAACTCCAGCTTATAGTTGAGATTGTCGGCAAAGCTCCAGAGCAACACGGGATTCGGCTCCAGCACGGCGCGCTGCACAAAGTTCGTCTGATGGGTTGCCAGGTCAACTGTCACCGGAGTGCTGAACGCGTACGAGACAGCAACTAGGCCGGACAACTTCGGATACCAATCACAGCTGGCCACAAATCGCTTGTCGCTCTTCGAGATGTTGGCGAAGCAGATGAACTCCTCCAAGAACGGATTGGTATAGTGCACCACTTGCCGGTTCGTGATCATCTGATAGTCGTAGCTGGTGGGAGATAAGAAGAAAGAGGGAAGAGGCAAGAAGCAAGCAGAGATAGAACAGATGACCAACGAGAATTGAGAGAGATGAAATATGCGCTCACCGATAGCAGTCGATCTGATTGAAGTCGAGTGTGGCTAGGAGCAGTTCCATTTGGCTAGACATCTGTGGGATTACTTTGGGCTTTGGCTCCGCCGTGCCTGGCCGGCCTTGGACGCCTTCCTCCTCCTCGACTTCCGACTCATCCAGCTCCAGATCTGAGCCAGAAACAGATTAGGAAAACTTCCATAGCATTGCCTAGACTAACCCACCATTGTCATCGATTTCGTAGAGGTATTGCGACCAGGCGTTGGAAGGAAACGTCGGATTGGTTTGCTGCTCAATGTTTACGCACGCTGGCGCCACCTGGACGGCCACGGCTATGCGTCGCTTGACGACGTTGTCGTATTTGATATCCTCCTTGGGCAGCAGCTCGACAACTCCGTCGCGCACATCGCGCGTCATGCGATATGAGAAGGCAATGTGACGGGGCTGTTGTATGGGATAAACGCTCTGGATCTCCACATCGACGGGCTGGTCGCTAAAGCGCTCGACGATGATGCTCATCTCATCCTCGGTGCCCTGGCTGACCCAGCGACGGGGCTTCTTTCGTAGACGTCGCTGCATGCGCCAACGCTCGAAGGCTTCCATGTTTTGGATGAGCCCCATGGCCATCCTTGTGTCCTTGCTGTTCACATAGAAGATGAAAGGATCGCCCTCGGCTGGTTCCTCTTCGCCCTCGGTTAGTGTGGGACAGTAGCCAATCAGAATGAAATGCTCCGGATTGAAGCCCTTGAAGATTTTAAACAACTCCGTTGTATTCTCCAGGTTCTCAAAGAGCATATCGCGCAGCTCCTTAAATTTGACCTGCTTCCACGGAAACTCCTGGGTAACATTCACGCCGACCTGAATTTTCAGCTTCTTCTGCACTGGCTCGCTGGGAAATGGAACTGAGGTGAATTCCTTTTAGCTCGGCTCGGAATACCTACGTGACCATCACCTTCTGGCAGGTGGGCAGTGAGAGCAGCGTACGCCACGCCTCCTGCACATTGAATAGTTTCGTCACATCCTGGACGTCCTCGTCGGAATCTGGCCTCTCGAACTTCTTGACATAAGGCCGCTTCCTTTGTACGCCATCGGCGGTAATTTCCAACTCCCCTTCCAGATTGTCGTCCATTTTGTATTTGATTTTCTGTTTCTGTTTCTGGATCAAATAGAAATTTCTATGCTGTTTAGTTCTCTCTCGATAGACTGTTTATTTTCTGTCAGGCCTTCTTTGTGTGTCATGGCAATAATAGAGCATGCGCCTAGCCTGGACTGGCGTCTATGGCAACTTCTATTGCCGAGCCATGTGGCACGCACTTCAAATGAAATTCTGTTGCAACAGATATTTTCACTCATTTACATGCATGGCCAAAATGCGATGCCAACTGCCAATTTTTGAGTGGGTGATTGTTGTCGATGCTTCTGTTGCTGCTGTACTTTTGGCTGCATTTCACATCATTATCTTTGACCAAATACGGAACTATGCGCCGAAGGAGAGAGAGAAAGATACACAGAAAAAAGGCAAACGCAATTGTGTGTCACTCACAGAGGCCTCAAAAAACAACAAAAAACAAGAAAAAACTGAGCGCTGGCAGAAATATGTGTTTTTCTTGTGACCATGCCCCCTACCGCTGGCAGTCGTCGAGCTGGACATGATCTGTGGCATGTTTGTTGGTTCAACAAACGGCGAATGTGGAAAGCGTGCGGCACAAGCTACGCAATCGAAATCGAAAGTTCTCTGATGGACAGCTGCAGTTGGATGTCAATGCACCAGCAGCAGCAGCACCACCACCACCACCACTGCCAAATGTGGTGCCATGTCTGCTGCTTGCAACTGACACACATTTAATGGATGCACGTCGCTCACTTTCATTTTCAGTCGCATTCTGAGCAGCGGCCTGGGCTCAACTTTCGATTGCAACTGAACAATTTATGCACCTGTCAGTCGATAGCTGGCACCTCGCGATTAGCCTGTGGCATGCTCGAACTATAGCCACACACACACGCACACACACACACACATTCATATATAAATCACTCGACAAATTGTTGACAAAACATTTCGTAATTTAAATAAATAAAAAACCAGCAACAACAACAACGCGACAAGCTGCCGATAGTCAACGTCCGATAGTCGCTGTGGCAGCATGCAAACAGCGAATGCAGCTCAAATCCCCAAACAAACAAAAAGCAAACAAAACACAACAACACAACTTCCTCATCCGCAACCCAAGAGCCTGTCCAGGCACAACAATGACGTCGCCGTTGCCCAGGCTGATAATTTTTTTGATTGTGCCCCGCTCGAGCTGTTCGCGCTGCTCATATGCAAAGTGGGTCCGAAACGTAGCGCCCCACAGCCATAGCGAACAATAGCCGCCTAGCTACGCGAGCTCGTCCCTTGCCCCTGCGCCTGCGGAGCCTATTTGACAGTAGTCGAGCGAGCAGCAGGATTTGGCAAAACATTTTCACATTGCTGCGCCACAAATACGTGATACACTTTCTAAGACAGCGATGAACATGGTAATAAGAGATAAGATAATAAATAAGAGATTAGAAAAAAGATATATATATGTATATATAGTTCAATTATATATTTTATTTATTATGTGCAACTGTGTTAAATCGAATATTAAGATTAATAAATTTTGTTATTAATTTGGATGATTTTTCAGGGCGTGGCAAGACAAATTAGCTAAATTTAGTTGTTCATAAAAATAGTAGTGACTACTAAAAAAGCAAGAAACAAATTTTTGACCTCAGTCTAGCTTCCTATATTATGCTCCACATATATTTCTTACTCTAAAACGTAGATGTAAATAAAATATTTATTATAATGGCCTGACACCTGCATGGCATGAAGTTGCTAAAGTCCGCTTCACAAGAATTTGACGTGACGCCACATAAACTACTTGCCATAACTCTATGAACTAAATACATATATAATATACTATCCTATATATACTATATATACTATCCTATATATACTTGAAAACAATAAAAATCTTCAAAGAAAAGTATTTACTTAACTTTGCCAATCTCTTGAATTGTCATATTAATTCCTTACTCCAGCTAAGCCCAACATCAAAATGCCCAGCATAAAAATTAAGTTATAGAGCATTTACCGTTGCAAATATGAACGAGAGATTATAGTTGAAGGAATCTGGTCAGGACTTGACAGAATTTGTGTTTAATATGATTTTATTTGCAGCTTTGAAAACATATAACAAATCAATTTTAATTCAAAATTTTATTTAAGTGTTAAAAATTTAAAAAAAAATTAACTTAAACTTAAAACTTAAAAAAAAAAAAAATTTTAAATTTAAATTTAAGCATCAAAACATGATTCAGATTTATAAAGACATCAAGCAAGCAAAAATCATATTTTATTATTTCTATATTTATATAAATATTTAGGATTTATTCGAAATCCTGATGATTAATTAGGCAACGATCTGAATCTACTTAAGAGTGTCTCACACAGGAACTGCCTAAGCTCAAATAAAACAAATGAATTTGATGAGCCCTTGAAACATTTTCTTGAATAGTTCGTTAAAGGCCTTTGTTATAATTAATGTGAGCATATTAATTATATTAACAAGAAGAGCAGTAACAAAAAAATTATAACAAAGATAAAGAGAGCAAACCATTTGTTTATATAACTTAATTTAAAAGCAAATCCAGTTCCACGAAATCCCAAATTTATTCAAATATTTGTAATTAATATGAAGATATCTGAAATTTTATTCGAGCTGCTCGCATGTTAAAAACCCAACAGATATGAATATATATATATAAAACTGTTAGATTACGATATGCTGCTGTCACAAACATCATATAAAATTATGGGATACTTGCACTAAGACAACGCCAACAACTGCAATTGTTGTTGTTGTTGTTGGGGCTGGGTTCAGCCGAGCAGCAGAAATCGACTCGATGGCTGCGCTGGCTGAGTGGGGCAGAGCCAATGGGAGTCGAGTGAGCGAGGAGGCAGCTGTACAACTGGCGACAAAATGTTGCATGTTTGCGGCTGTCACCAGCCGCCCGTTGCATGCCGCCTGCCACATGTTGCCAGTTGCCTGTTGCCTATTGCCAGCAATATATGCAAAAAGGTGCTAAAAAGATCAGAGGCAGCGATTTATCTTCATTTGCATTTGACGTCGTTGGCTGTGTGTCAAAAAGGTGTTAAGTGCCACAGCCACAGTCAGAGTCAGAGTCAGAGTCACAGTTGCAGTTCCACTCGGAGCTAGAGTTGCCACGTTTGACTCTGCGGCGCCGCTTTTGATGACAACCGACAGCAACGGTAGTCGAAGCGCATAATTTTCGATATTTTATAACTTTGTGGTAGCCGAAAATACGAAAAAAAAAAAGAAATCAAAAACCAAAAAATTGGCTTTAGCCTGGCACATCAATCCAATGGACCGACCGCCCAATAAGGCAAGCCGCCCCAAGCACCGTTATTAGCCGCTGCCAAATTGGTCAAATGCAGCAGCAGCAGCAACAACAACAGCAACCAGGCCAAAACAATGCCCACTTCTAGGCAGAGAGCTTAGATAGTCGCACCGATAAAAGGGACATGAAATTCAAATTTGAGCGCCAAATTTACTTTGCGACTTTTTTATCAGCGAGTGAAATTTGCTGCAATTGGCTTCCGTATTACGACGTTTTGTGAATTATGTGAGAAATTTGTTAGTGAGCTAAATGCTTTACTGATTTTCCCAATCCCATTGACTGTGCCAACGGCGCGGCGAGCCAAATGACGGCTGAAGGGGCCACGGATTATGGCTTTCATTGCTCGAAATTGGGCCACCCACAGCGTGTTCCATTAAGCCCGAAGACCGCTACAAATGGCAATCAATTAAGATTAGGTCACATTTCGGCACAGTTATCTGTGCAGTGTTGGTCGGCGCGAAAGTGTTGCAAATTGATGTTAGTCAAGAGTGGATAAGTAACAATAATAAAGGTAGAAAAATTTAGTAAAGCTCACAGATGTGATAACTGTTGATTTTACGAAGAGAAATGAGCGTGAAAGAAAAGGAAATAGAGGAAAATTTTAATAATGAAAATGTGTAGAATCTGGGAAAAATAGTTGTAGAAGGGATAGAGAGGTGTGAAGATATTGATTCTGTTCGTAGTATGGACTTTGGATAGCGAATTGGTGTAGTGAATATATATATATATATATAATATATATAATGCTAATGCTAATGCTAATGCTAATGCTAATGCTAATGCTAATGCTAATGCTAATGCTAATGCCAATGCTAATGCTAATGCTAATGCTAATGCTAATGCTAATGCTAATACTAATGCTAATGCTAATGCTAATGCTAATGCTAATGCTAATGCTAATGTTAATGCTAATGCTAATGCTAATGCTAATGCTAATGCTAATGCTAATGTTATACTAATGCTAATGCTAATGCTAATGCTAATGCTAATGCTAATGCTAATGCTAATGTTATACTAATGCTAATGCTAATGTTAATGCTAATGCTAATACTAATGCTAATGACAATGCTAATGCTAATGCTAATGCTAATGCTAATGCTAATGCTAATGTTATACTAATGCTAATGCTAATGCTAATGCTAATGCTAATGCTAATGCTAATGCTAATGCTAATGCTAATGCTAATGTTATACTAATGCTAATGCTAATGCTAATGCTAATGCTAATGCTAATGCTAATGCTAATGCTAATGCTAATGCTAATGCTAATGCTAATGCTAATGCTAATGCTAATGCTAATGTTATACTAATGCTAATGCTAATGTTAATGCTAATGCTAATACTAATGCTAATGACAATGCTAATGCTAATGCTAATGCTAATGCTAATGCTAATGCTAATGCTAATGCTAATGCTAATGCTAATGCTAATGCTAATGCTAATACTAATGCTAATGACAATGCTAATGCTAATGCTAATGCTAATACTAATGCTAATGCTAATGTTATACTAATGCTAATGCTAATGCTAATGTTAATGCTAATGCTAATGCTAATGCTAATGCTAATGCTAATGCTAATGTTATACTAATGCTAATGCTAATGCTAATGCTAATGCTAATGCTAATGCTAATGCTAATGTTATACTAATGCTAATGCTAATGTTAATGCTAATGCTAATACTAATGCTAATGACAATGCTAATGCTAATGCTAATGCTAATGCTAATGCTA